ATCAACCAGCTAAGATGGAAAGCAGACTGAGGTCAAACAAGAGGGTGTCAGAAGGGTGTTAACAAGGAGACCTGTTACAGGAGGGTGATACAAAGCAGATTGGAGGTAAAACAAAAGGGTGTTAGGCCTTAAACAAAAGAGGCAAAAATTACTCCATGACTTGAAGTTTCCCAGAATTATAACTGAACATGCTAATGTCAGAGACTATTATGCAAAGTTCAAATTTTAAAATATAATAATAGGTATTTAGTTACAATTTGGGAACATCTCTTCATTTAAAATCTACTTTACTATTCTATTTACTTTAAAATATGAGCTCATTGTTTTCTGTGTGGATCCAAGGAAAATAGGATTCCATATCTAGCAAAACATGTTAAAATATCTATGACAGTGTTCTATTCAAAAGAAGAATCCTTTGAAGTCACAGTGGTTTGGAAGTTGTCAAGCCAAAGAATGATTAATTGCATTAATTGTCCACTAGATGGTAGCAGTGCAGCTGCTACAATTTGTCAAGCAATCATCTTCAAAATAATTTAGTAATACATCATTTAAATAGACACTTAAGAGCAAAAAAAGAAATTCCCATGAATTCTCAAGCAGTATTGATGATAATAAAAAAATAGATGTAATTTAGCTAAATTATCTTACCCCGTTTTATTTAAATTATACCCATGTTGGGAATTGGAGAGCTAACTCAACCAAAGTTACCTGAGTGAAGTTATCTTGCTGGACGTATATCATTCAATCCATAGATAGTTCCACAAGACTCCCATACTCCACCTCTAGCAGATAACATTGACCTCTAAGAAATGCTATGTGTGACCCAAAGTTCAAAAGTCATGTGTGTAAACCATAAAGAACTATGTCTCTAAATTGAGTGCTTTAAATTAGAAATTAGAAATGTTCAAAAATTCCAAGGAATTTTTTCAAAAAAGATAAGGACCAGGATAGTAAGTATGTAAATATTCTCATTTAAAATCCCTTGTATCCAAGAATTCTTGCACCAGAAACATTTTTGATATATCTCTGGTCAACTCAAAGTCAACAGCTAGCTGGCTAGGAGTGCCACTTGCCTGAGCTGAACTGAGCTAAAACAAAGAGAGATGTCTGCTTTAGTCCTTCCCAGGGCAATAATACCATATGACCTCCTGCCAGGCAAACCAGGGACTGCCAAGTTTTCCTGCCCAGCCTTGCCCACCCAGGAGCCTCTGACTGTAAGGGCACCTCTCTCTTCCTCCCTCCTTTAAATTACTCCCTCACGGAGATCCCAGGACAGGCTCTGAGCCCTTCCTCAGTCCCAAGCTCTCATTTCCCAAACAGTAATTAACCAACAGCACAGAAATGGCTCCCTGAATTTTTCCTATCTCAAAACGGTGTTGCTACAACATAGCAAGACTGGTTTTCCGGTCTGGAATAAGGGAGTTCTTCATATCTAGAATAACATCCCATGTATTCACCTGCTTTTGCCAACTAACATATATGAACTGCTCAAAGAAAATTTCAGGCACAGAAGAAAAACAGAAGGAACCATGACAGCTAATGAGGTTATTTGGGGGCCAAATGAGGTCTTGATGATCCTCTTAGGTCTTCTCATTTGAGCAGGTAGTCACTCGCCCTCTAGCCAGGTCTGACACTGCCTGAACCACACACCCACATCTTTGTCCAGAAATGCCACCTTTCTTCAAATAACGAAGACAAGTTTCCTGCAGCATTTTGCAGGGCAGCTTCATTTCAATGATAAGAATCCAATATCCACAACTAAAGGCAACAAATTTTTCTTTCAACATACCCTTTATGAGATACCTAAAGGTATTCCAGAAGCTTATTGGATTTGAGTTGAAGATGGAGAAGTATTTGAAAGAGCCTAGTAAAATCACAAGAGAACTTTCACTTTCATTTTCTAAGGTATCTCTTTTATAGTGATAATGTTTGAAAATATGCATAAAAATATAGTTTAAAAATAAAGCAATATTTTATTTTATTTTTCTAAAGGTTTTATTTATTTATTTGAGAGAGAGAGCATGAACATGGGGAAGGGGCAGAGTGAGAGAGAGAAGCGGACTCCACATTGAGCAGGGAGCCCAATGAGGGACTCAATCCCAGGACCCTGAGATCATGACCTGAGCCCAAGGCAGATGCCCAACTAACTGAGCCACCCAGATACCCCTAAAGCAATATTTTAAACTGTGGCTAGACATATACTACTACAAAACTCCTAGGAGTACAAAGATCCAGAAGGATGGAAAATTGTGTGAGGCATTCAACTTTAAATTTCTTTTTAAAGAGATTAATTTGACCTATGAAATATCACACCACCTTACAAAGTCAATCCTAAAATGATATGTTGTTCAATAGCCATTCATCCTATTCTATACATATGCCAAGATCTTTTATAAATTCTGATGCAATAATATAAGATGGCTCAGAACTATGCCTGCCAAGAAACCATTTGTTCTGAGAAAAAGCTTCAGAATACTCTTGAAATCCATCTATTGTATCTGTTCTTCAGAGGCTAAATAAATTGGGGAGGAGTAGGAAGTCTTAAAAGCATCCCATGTCGATATCCTATTCCAGAAACAGGGAACTGAAATATGTAACAGATATTAAGAAGTCCAAGATTATTTAAAATCAGAGTCTTATCCCTGAGAGATACCAGGATCTCACACATTTACCTAGATCCCCAAATAAAACAGAAGTGTCCTTCATACTTGACCTGAAAAATAGACATACAAGACTTCTCCACAGTTTTAAAACTAGTCACACAGAAAAAGGCTTTAAGAAAACATATAAGAATGTTAGAATTAAAGGTGATTTCTATTTTCTTCTTTCAAATTTTGTTTTTGCTAAATTATTTCCAGTAGGCATTTATTACTTGAAGAATCAGAAAATAAAACTCCAAAAAGAAAAGCTGTAACACAAAAAATTTTTCCTGAAGTAGTCCACATTAAAACAAATACAGAAAGATATTTCACCCCTAAAGGATACAGCCACCACTTTATTTATTTATTTGTCAGAGAAAGAGAGAGAGAATGAGCAGGCACATGAAGGGGGTGGGGCAGAGGCAGAGGGAGAAGCAGACTCCCCGCTGAGCAGGCAGCCTGATGCGGGCCTCGATCCCAGGACTCTGGGATCATGACCCGAGCCAAAGGCAGACGCTTAACAGACTGAGCTACCTAGGCGCCCCCACAGCCACTGCTTTAATCTACCACATGATACATGCTGATACTCCAGTTGACAGTGGTCAACTATAAGTCTGTTTACAGAACCTGGCAATTTTATTAAGTGCTTAGAGGGCATGAGCATGTATTTTAGCACCTACCATCCACCAAGTCCTTCACATATGCTATCTCATTTAGCCCTCACAGCACTTGCCAGAGTCCAATTTGCATCTCCATTTTTCAGATGAGGAAACCAAGGCCCAGAATGACTAAGCAGCCTGCTCAGGGTGAAGGAGCCACTCTAAGGTTACATGTTTTTCTAACTGCAACGTCAAGCTCTTCCTTTTCCTCTGTACCTCTACCAAATACATCCTCAGAAGGAGTGGAGCAAACATTTGCTTAGGGAGTTTCTAGTGCTGATGAGCTTATCCAATGTCAAGAACATGAAGGCATTTGTAAAACCCTCCTCTCCCTTACCTGCAGGGTTGGGGTAAGGGGAGCCCCTTGGGATATGTTCTAGTGCACATGTAACACAGAGAGAGGAATGAAGCTATTGCTGCTGTACATGTAACATGGGCATCTCCCCAACACTATTATTTTGATAATAAAAATATATAACCATGACTCTGAGAAGCTTCCTATAGGACGATCTATATACATTTGTCAATGTGAAGAAGTAGTTTTTAAAAGGAAATTCTAGTAAGTTAGCTGATTAGCTAAACTTACTCACTCTGTTAGATTACCTTAATTCTGAGTAGAGGTGATGCCTTCTCCCAAATGATCCATGTTCAAAATTAAAGACCCCTCAAGAGACTATTTAGAATGCTCTATCAATGACTTTCATTAATTCAACTTTCTGAAAGCATTTACTGAACCCTGCATCCAGACCCTAAAGAGAACAGCCAATGAACAAACACTTGAGCAACCATAAAATTGTGCCTTCTAGGAGTCCTCAACTTGCTTTAGAAATAGGGGTTATCTCCGAGAACAGAGGCAGGAGAAGGAGAAAGGAGTGGGGATGTGATTGCTTTAGCTCTTTCTGTAACATTCTGTAACTTCTTTACAGAGAGGTACAGAGAAAATATGGCAAAAGTATAAAATCTAGGTAGTAAATACATCAATATTTTTGAGATTACAGTATTTTTAGCATATTCAAAATATTTTGTAATTTACTAAGTTACAATGTAGCTTCAAAAACATATTTTACGTTATTAAGGACCACCCATCAAGGTTCTGTAGTCAGATACCCAAATTCATCTCCGGTTCCAAGCGCAAATTTAAAGTGATTTCTTCCATCATTCAATTCAAACATATGGAAAAGCTGCATTTTATTTATTTTTTTTAAAGATTTTTTATTTATTTATTTGACAGAGAGATAGCGAGAGCAGGAACACAAGCAGGGGTAGTGGGAGAGGGAGAAGCGGGCTTCCCGCCGAGCAGGGAGCCCGATGTGGGACTCGATGCCAGGACCCTGGGATCATGACCTGAGCCGAAGGCAGATGCTTAACGACTGAGCCACCCAGGCACCCAAAGCTGCGTTTTAGGACGAAGAACTGGGCTCAGATCTCAACTCTGTGAACATACTAGCTCTGCTACCTTGGGCAAGTTATTTCCTAAAAAATGAGTTTGCCTGGCATCTGTAAAATGGGTATTCCCAATTGCAAAAGGGTAGCGTGAGGTTGGATCTGCCACAAAATGGGCATTCAGTGTTAGTGTTGCCATCCTACCCCTCCCACCCCAACTAGAAAAACATTTCGTCCACCAGAACCCTAAGAGGAAATCAGCTGCTCCTCCAGATAAGAGCTGAGGCATAAAGCTGGCAGAGGTCTTGGGGCAGGCAGAGAAGAACTATGCGGTTCATCCTGCCTTTGGGTTTGATCGCTACCACCCTTGCAGTGGCTCCTGTCCGCTTTGACAGGTAAACCTCACCACCCTGCATTCCAGTCTCTGTACAGAAAGAGGATGAAGGCATGCTTCTTTACAGTTCCCATGTTTCATCTTTTTACATTCTTAAAGGGAGAAGGTGCTCCGCCTGAAGCCCCAGGATGAAAAACAAGCAAACATCATAAAGGACTTGGCCAAAACCAACCAGGTAAAGCACTTAGACAATTATTTTATCTTTTCTTTCTGTTCTCTAAAAGCTGCCTCTTATGAATTTTACTTTTAATGCACGCGGAGCTTCCAAAGACAAAGAAGGGGCAAGTGGCAGAAGCTACTTGGGTAAATCAGCCAATCGCCACTATAGGGCTTCCCTTGTTTTTGTTTATTTTTTTTCCCCAAATTACCACTCCTGTTTTCCCTCCCAAAAGCTTTGCAAACAACAGCTTTTTCTATGGGAAATTGTGAAATAAGGAAGTGGGCTTTCTTGACACCTTTCTGGGGGCCTCTTTCCCCTCCCTGCTAGTGCCTTGCCTGCTCCATTCTCCTCTCTCCCACCCAGATCTCCACCAGTGGCATAGTTTCTCTTAAAATTACAATAACATCAAGGTATTGGTTAACTGGTAACATCAAAGTAATGGTTTATAATACCAAGACGTGACCCTTCCCAAGAGTAGGTCCATTTTAAAAGGAAACTCTTGAAGTTTGATCACTCTTTTAAAACCCAGTGAGCTAATGTAATCATTTTATCATTTATTCAGCTGCTCCCATACACAAGGCACACTGTGTCAGCCACCTTATAGGTATCATATCAAACTCTCCAACAGATTTTCAGGGTGAGTGGCATAATTAAACCCACTTAAAACAAAAGAATCAAAGTCCCAAGACAGTAAATTAAATGACCAAGATGACACAGCAGACTTAAATCCAGAACTGAATCTGAGATTTATTCTAGTCACGCACCCCCGCATCACATCAAACTAATTGAAAGCTCTGCTCTTCTAATTTCCCAAATGTTTTTCAAATCCATGCTTTCCTCTTCATTCCCGTGCCACTGCCAAAATTATGTCTGCCCTACCTTGTGCCAGGACTATTTCAGTAGCCCCTTATCCAGGGTTCAGGTTCTAGTCCTGCCTCCCACAAAGCCAGGTCTGCACTACAGCCTGGCTGCTCTAAAGCTTGATGATCATATTCCTCCATGTGAAGGTTTTTAGTGAGAGGCAGCCTGGTATGGAAAGAGCATGGTCTTCAAAGTTTCAAATACTAGCTCTAACTAGCTCTGTGGCCTTAGGCAAGTTACGTAACCTCTCTGGATCTGTTTCCTCCTCTGTAAAGTGAGGATAATAATCATACCTACTTCCTAAGGTTGTTATAAAGACTAAGTAAGCTAGTAATTGGGTGACGCTCAGAAGGAGGCCTGGCCGTAATAAGCACTGTAGAAGTGTTTTCTATTGGTATTGGAGTGACATTTGAAGTCCTTCATGATCTGCCGAGCTGCCAATCTCTACTGTCTCCCACTCGTCCAAACCTCTCTCTCACTGTTCAAGCTCCATGAGCACCAAACGTCTTTAAATCACACTACATCTCTCATATGTCCAATTTATGCTGTAGCTTTCTGATCAAAATAAACCAATAAATATTGGTTGGCTCACAGCAGCCTCATATAAGCACATAACGGACTGACCCAGAGGTAGAGTGGGATTCAACTACAAAATACCCACGTGGACTTAGACATGTCTACAAGCTTGGAATGGTAGGTAGGAATTGAGCATTTCCTTCACATTTCCCAGGTTGGGGAACTGTACTTCATTTCATTTCACGATGGAGTATGATTTTGAAGAACAACAAGAATTGGAATCTTCTAAAAGTTATTTTAACCTGAATGCTATCCTTCTAGACCCATTCACCAAATTTCTGAAATTCTCAGCTAGAGGAAGAAAAAGAGAAGGGAATCAGCAGCTTTAAATGCCTGCAGGTCCCAGAGTTCATATCCATTTCACATTCTTTACAACACTCCAAATGGAGTCCTCTTAACCCTATACCTTAGGGAAAAGGACTAAAACTCAAGGAGTTTTAGTATCGCCCAAGGACATACTACTAGAAAAATATAGGGCTGGAGATTATTATGCCTTCTGTTGGACACAAACCTTCCAGGAATTCCAGGAATTTACAGGGGAAACTGGTTTTGAGGCCTGACTCAGGGGCAGGGTGAGGGGAACCATATTTGTAATCTATATTCCCAATTAGAGACAGAGTCTATGGCTAAATGAATTGTGAAACAGCCCCAATCAACCCCAAGATGGTAGAAGCAAACAGATTAACTAAAAACTACTTTTTTTTTTGCATTTCTAGATACTATCTATGTCCTGAAAGAGTGATCAGTACAAATGATCTCTCCCACTCCCTAATATTCAACAGTATATTTGCACACTCTCATAAGCTTATTGAGAGAAGGGTCCATACCTTAACTACACTGAACCCCAAATTCCTTTTGTAGTGTATGACACATGTGTTTCTTAAGAAATATGTGTTGGGTGAACAAATAACTGTGACTAACATTGAACTCATCTCCGCAGCTTGACTTCTGGTATCCAGATGCCATCCACCACGTAGCTGTTAATATGACGATAGATTTCCGAGTTAGTGAAAAGGAATCCCAGTTCATCCAGTCTACCTTGGATCAAAATAAAATGCACTATGAGTAAGTCCTATGAAATATTCAAATGTGTTAGACACTCAAAGTTTGGAGTATCTTGAAATTGAGAGGGAAGTACTATTCTTTAATTGGGCCAAAAAAATGAAAGCTCTATGAGATAAACATTTACAGTTACTTTCGAATAGGCTATTGAGGCCTGCTTACAGGGGTGATGAGATCAAACTGAGCTACTCAACTCCATCTCTTTTTGTTCTGATCTGCAAGAAGGGCAATCACCCATGCTGCCCTCTCCAAAAATCAGCTCCTAGGAAGGACATTGTGCACTTGTGCAGGCATGGATAATTTAGCCACACTCATCACCTCTGACAGATAATCACCACAGAGCTCAAGAACTACTGGTGGCTACTAGCACCAAATTCTTGAGAATTTGAATTCTCCTGCTGCATAAAAGGAGACCCAAATAACTGTGCTCATCTTGAGTCAGAGATGTGGGAATATAAGATATATAATAAATAATTCTTTATGAAAGAAATTCTTCCTCAGAGAAAGCAAAAGCAATGCAATAGAGTAAGACTTAAATCCAACAGGAGAGAATTCTCAAATGGCCAAAGATGGAGAAATGAGTCATTGTGGTCCCACAGAGAAATAAGGGAAAATTAGAACTCACTGAGCACCAACCATGGGCCATGCACAGTCTGGGCCCTGGGGCAGTGAACAAGGGAGCCCAGTGATGAATATCACAAATCCACACATAACATAGAAAACAAAATGTGTTTGATGTACTGAGGGGTCCTGTTTTAACTCTACCAGCCCTTGTCATTCCAGCAATACCCTTTACTGAGACCTTCACCATTCAAAACACTGCTAAGCACTAGTTCTTTCTTTCTGACTTGCTATTTCATGCCTCTGCTACCCAACATAGAGCTACAACTAAAAAAGCCTTCGTATTCTGCCTGAAGCATATCATGTCATATTGCAGAGCAGGATTTACTGCTGCTTATCACGACTTGATTGTGTTCTTATTGCTACAATATCCTTTATAAATATAAACTCTATTGAAATTAAGGAAAGACAAATATAAGAGAAGTAAAAAAATTCTTATTCGTGACTTAATGGCTTAAAAAGTAGCAGGCTATTACTTGTGATTGTTGTTAATGATTGTCTTTGTTTTTGCTGTCATTTCGAGAGGGTTGTGAAACAAATGTAGAAATTAATAACTGAGGAGCACATATTCAAAATTAATTTCTATCAAGATTTAACCATTTCTAATTAATATATCAATATGTGCTTTTCTATGTTCTTACAAATTGTATTATTAAAATTAGAAAGACACTTTATAAATGGACCTCCAAGATCTCAGAAACTAGAGTGCATTAGAGATTCTCTACTTACACTAAGGTTCAGATGGTCTTGATTCTTTCATCTAAAAGAACTCACTCCTCCCCCTATATATCCTCTGGTGCCTGTGTCTCTTGATTCTCTTCACAGCCAGTCTTCTTAAATGTGTGCCTCAAGTATTATACTCTTTATTTTACGTCATTAGTATAGACCTGACCCAAATTCCTGTGATCAACTAATTCTTACAAAGTATCCAGCCCAAGCTAAAATAAATTTTAGCTGGTCAATTTTGTTTAATTTGATCTGAACAGCAACAGAAAAATAAAGTATTAAGTTTTCCTTAATATCCTGGTAATGTAGACAAAAAGCTAGTTGCTTGACATGAGTGTGGACAATGGAATTAATCACTGTGACAGAAGATATCTAGGCAGGTGGCACCTCTCTCTCCTCTTTGGACCTCTAGGTCTCTCTTAGGCTGAAACAATTCTGACTCAAACAGAGGTGTAAATCCAGAACTTCACAAATACAGTGTGTTTTTCACTTTGTCTTATGCCAAAATACTTCCTTGTTACCTACATCAAGAACCAAAGTGTTAAAATACAAATAAAAATTAGTTTTATCTAATTAGGACATGATTTCTAGAAATTGGTCCAAATTAGCCACGTTGTGGGAAAGCCACATAATTAGATAGTTACCTTCCTCAGAAATATAAATATGTAAAGTGATCTGTGCAGACAAGGACTATTTAAATCTTGTCTCCAAGTACTAATTATATAGATAATTTTATTTGCATATTAATTATATGTGTTACTTGGTGTCAGTCAGTAGTAGAAGAGTGTTCTAAGAACAGAAACATCTGGTGGACCCAGGCACCAGTCTGAACAAAACCACATTAAGAGGCTGGTTTGACACATTGATTTACTTAGACACCCTTCATTAGACAGTACATATAAACCACTATTTAGTTTAAAGTATCTGTGTGTGACTTTTTTTTAATTTTTAGAAAATTAAATTACTAAGATTTGATTTTAAAGTAGCATGTTTGCTGCATTTTTATTTACTCTTTTACAAAATCATAAAAGACCAAGTCTGAAAAACAAATAACACCTACATACCAACAAACCTAAACAGACTGATGAATAAATGTCTAAAGAAAAGCACACCCAAGGGATGCCTGGGTGGCTCAGTTGGTTAGGTGACTGCCTTCACTCTGGTCATGATCCCGGGGTCCTGACATTGAGCTCCGCATCGGGCTCCCCCTGCTCTCTGGGGAGGCTGTTTCTCCCTATCCCTCTGCCTGCTGCTCCCCCTGCTTGTGCTCACTCGCTCTCCTTGTCAAATAAATAAATAAAATCGGAAGAAGAAAGAAAGAAAGAAAGAAGAAAAAGAAAGAAAGGAAGGAAGGAAGAAAGAAAGAAAGAAAAGCACACCTATTGGACTGAGTCTATAGGAGCAGACACCATATTTAGATTCAGTAGTTAAAAACCCTAGTGTTTTTACTAAATTTTTTACATTTTAGATATTTGTATTTCAGATACATTTTAGATTATCTTTTCTTTGATCAAAAGTTAAAATCAGAAAATAAAGAATTATTAATGAAAGGTAATTCAGAAAACAACTACTAATATATATGGTATAACACTAATAAAGCAAAACAAATGATACAATTAAGTGAAATCTTAGTAAGATGCACATAAGATTATATGGGAAGTACAAAAGAAATCTATATCAAACTGACCAATCTATACCAAACCAACTCCTCGACACTTCATATTAATGTCTAATTACCTAAGAGTGATCAGACACAAATTCATATTCCAAGTGTACACTCAGTCCTATCAAATAAGTATTCCAATCAAATAAATCATTCTAATGTCTTGTCCCATTCATTTTTCCTTTTGCTCTACATTTTTATATATTACTTGCCCAAGAGTAAAACAGGTATGCTGATAACCTGCTACAAACTGCAAAGAGATGTTGGTCATGGTGGAAAGCAGACAAGTGTGGTAAATAAGAATGTGGATTCTCAGTGAGGCTGTCTGGGTCCAGTCCCGTTTAAACTACATGTTAGGTATTTAAACATTGACAATTTACTTAACTTCTCTTCACCTCATTTTCTTCATCTCTAAAGGGTGTTTCATAGAGGTTTCATGAAGATTGACTGGGACCATAAAATCGCCCTTTGCCTGGTTCCTTTACTTCTACTAATGCAAGTGAGGGAAAGACCACTTATACGTGTGTTTACATGAGTGCACACACACATATGAACACATACACACTCTACAACAGAGGATAACTAGGGGCTATCACTAGATGCTCCCTTCCCCTCTTAGTGAATAAATTAGTGCCTTAAAGTTTATTATCCAACACAGAGGTGTGCCTCAAATGTTGGGAAATCCATGTCAGTAAATGCCAAGTTGCATACACAGTAACCCAATTAGGGAGTTACTGGAGACAAATGGGATCTTGTGGAAACTTGAAATCATGCTTTTTGAGTAGCCCCTATCCTGCTGGAATGTGGGCATAGAAGAGGGGAGGCAATCCAGACCTCTAGTTTATAAGACACCATAACAATGACTCTACATCCCTGGGATATGCTTCCCCATCTCTCTCTCTCTCTCTCTCTCTCTCTCACACACACACACACACACACACACCCCAGAGCCTATGGCAGTCACATACATTGGCCTCCATTCTCCATTTGTTACTCTTTAAAACCAACAGATGGAGGGAGCCCTGAAATTGTCAGAAAAGGATTCATCTTGTCTCTTCTCTGAACTTCTTATCTACTTCCTGACCTTGGGACACAGCCTTCTAGGAGAGCTGGTCAACTGGGCGAACTTTGCACAATACTCAGTAGACTAAGAAGACCACGGGTCTGAGGGCAATACCCATGGATTTCACTCCTTGTCACTGGAAGCACTGTTGTATAATGGCTCACAGCTGGAAAACTGAAGTCAGACACCTCTAGGTTCAAATCCCACCTTCTGCATTTTTACAGTCGTGTCAACTTTGGCAACCTCTACCTAACCTTTGGGGGTGATAACGGTACCCAATTAATAGTGATGATGTGAAGATTAAGTGATAAAATGTAAATACCATGCTGAGCTGAATGCCTGGTACATAAGAAAGGTTCAATAAACATTAGCCATTTATATCATTAAATCTTCAATGATAATTATTTATCCTTTCATCTACATTTAGGAATTTCTTTAACAAATTAAGCATATCTTGGAGCGCTAAAATAATATTTGGAAGAAAGTAATTTGGTTTCATCTGCTTAAGCCTGGCTGCTGGTTAGTGGAAGGGCTCATGAAAATAACATCTGGCCCTAGGGGCGCCTGGGTGGCTCAGTCGTTAAGCGTCTGCCTTCGGCTCAGGTCGTGATCCCGGGGTACTGGGATCGAGCCCCACGTCGGGCTCCCTGCTCCGCAGGAAGCCTGCTTCTCCCTCTCACACTCCCCTTGCTTGTGTTCCCTCTCTCGCTGCCTCTCTCTCTGCCAAATAAATAAATAAAATCTTTAAAAAAAAAAAAAAACATCTGGCCCTAGTTCTTAATTTCCAGCCTTAGGCTTAATTTCTAGTCCCTATCAGCAACAATCTGGCACCATTCTGATGTCCTCATGCAGCTGCTTTATGGAAAGGTCGTATTTTAGCTCACACAATTTTCTTTTGCTGCTATTATCACAAGAGCTAAATTGATATGTGTAAGTCTAAAAATATTCTTAGATACAAGCTTCCTGTGACTAATTAATACTGCCTTATTTTACAAATCAACCTCCGGGACCATAAAATTTCTTTTTTGCTTGGTTCTTCTATAAATGCACGTAGAGCAAAAGCTTCATACCCTCTTTAGAACTTAAAACAATTAATTAAAGCAATTCATTATGTCTATAGTGACCACCCTAAATATAATTTCTAATCCTCTCAGGCTTCGTGAGTTTTAGTGCAATATGCCCACACCTGATTCCAAATCTGGTGTCATAACTTTTCTTCTGAGAAATCACAGATTCATTATAAATCAAAAAGCCAAGCATACAGTGAATTAGATATAATGTGCATAATAATGTGTTTGTCAGTAATGTTAATGGGAATCAATATTCATGAGTAGTGCTTGGTGTCATGTGCTAAATAAACTCTAATTAGAAGTATACCTCATTTATCTTCTGTCTCCAAACTCAGATCAGTCAGTCAATCAGCAAGAAAAAACCGACAAGTAGAGTGGGTGCTACAGTGTCACAGTTCATTATCGTAAGAAATTGAAGATATCAGAATCAAACAACTACATACCTCCCCAGCCTGGGTTAAAGACATGTTAAGTCTGTGAAGTGGTTGTCAATTTTGTGACTCAACTTCACTGTCATACTGAGCTTCACTGGGTACCTATGGCTTGCCAATCACTTCCCACATTTCAATTCATTTCATCCTCACCAAAATCCTGGCTGACATGTTTGGTTCCACTGTAAAAGTGAGTAAACTGAGGCTCAGAGAGACAGTTAATCCATCCAAGATCACATAAAGTATTAAGACAAAATGGGGCTGGAATCCAAGAATGGCCACAGAGTCTCTTCCCACCAGGTCACTACTTCCTTTTATGATTGGGTTCATGGAGGTGAAAGAGTACATGATACTGTCCTAAATGATTAGAATGCATGATAAAAAATAGACAGCATCTTCCTACATAGGACTTACTGCTAACAGAAGGAAAATTCATATGCATTTCATCAATGATAGTAATGCCTTTTTTTATAAGAAGTCAGTTGGAACTATGATAATCCAAATAAGGAAACTATTCAAATACAACTTCAAACAATTCTTGATTTTAAATATTTCACTGAAATATTTCTATTATAAGCCATTGATCTCTATCCTGAAAAATAAAGTATAGTGAATACTATAGTTTAATTTGGTTGAGGAATTACTATGACCAACACGAATTTTCACACTGTGCTATAAAAGAAGGATATCCTTAAGGGCTATTCACATTATTAAAATATGCTGGGTCACATGACCCCTGTGTTTGCTAAATCCTTCTGTCGATGTAGTTTATTTTCCTTTTTTTTGCTGTTAGCTACCACCTACTGATAGCATGCTTGCTTTTTTACAAGTCATTTTACCTATGTCCAATGTATTCCTTATGATGAATGAAGCTTTTTGTGAGGGTGTTTGTTAATCTCCGATGGCTGCAACATTATATTTAACATATTAAGGAATCTATAAATAAAATTCAATGCAACTAGACACCAATGGACAATAATAATTTGATCATATCGATAGATACCACCATATTAATCTCAAATGACAATCAACATTATATGTAGTGGTGAAAGACAGGTTTTCTTATTAAAAGCAGAAAAAAAATAGAATGCCCTCTTTCAACACTATTATTTTCCATTGTTCAGAGAGTTTAACCAATGCAATAAAGCAAGGGGAAAAAAATAGTTATTGGAAAAAAAGTAGAAAGTATAATTTTTTACAGAAGAAATAACTACCCTAAAACCCCCCCCAAAAAAAACCCTAAAGGCATAACTAAAAAATTCTTAGATGTGAAAAGATCATTTTTTAACTAATAAGATGGCTAATAGATAAGTGTAACCAAAGCAATAAGTTTTTTAAATATATGAATAACCAGTTCAAATGCCCAGGGAGAAAAAAAAACCACTCACAATACTAATAAAAATATATGAATAAACAAAATATACAAAATTTTACTGAAGAATCAAAAAGCTTTATTATGGTCCATTATTAATAAGGTTCTTCTCAAATTTATTCCTAATTTAGTACAATTCTAATGAAAAGCCTATATTTTTCTAATAATTCTCATAATTTCTAAAAATGATTCTGACCAAACATTTATTAAGAACAGGTAAAATTACTCAAAAATTTGGAAGCAAGAATAAGGAGACAGTACATTAAATATTAAAACTATAATTAAATATGGTTTGCTTCTTACACAAGAGTAGGAAAACAGATCAGTGGAGCACAACAGAAAATCCCCAAACAGACAGAATATACAAAAATATTTGAGTACATATAAGATGACAATGGCATTTCCGAAACATAAATCTTAAAGTCAAGCAAGGTTGCATTCAAACTCCCAACCCCAACACACACTAATTATGGGCATTTAAGCTTTCTAAGCAACAATGTCCCCATCTGTAAAATGGTGATAATATTAACAAGATAAAAATAAAATAAGGTATGTAAAGCAGGACCTGGCCCATATGAAACAAATGGATGTTCAAGTGAAAATGTCAGGTAGGCGGCTGGATGAACAAGCCATGGGAGAAGTAGGGGAAGAACTAGGGCCGTGGGAGGTTCAGGGGAGAGTACAGAACTGGAAATACAAATGTGGGCAACCATTAGAGCCATGGAATTCAATGAGATGAGATGCGGTAACTCAGGAATAGAGATGAAAATAGAGAAGAGGGTAGAGGCATAAGAGCTCTGGGTCCCCAATTAGCCTCCTAACAATTCTTCCTGCCTCTTATTTCACCCTCTCCAAATCAGCCTAAGCATTTTCTAGCTCTGTAACTACAAACAAGTTATTTAAACACTTTGTGTCTCAGTTTTCTCATCTATAAAATGAGGATAATAATTTCATGTGAAGATTAAATGAGTTAATGTACATAAGGTGGTTTAGATCAATGACTGGGACATGGTGAGTATTAAGTAAGTGCCTACTATTACTGTTATTCAAGTTTCTCCCAGCTCTCAAAGTATGAAGTGATATGGGATGGTCAGTAAATTTGTGCGTAAGAATATCCACTATTGCCCGTGTTGTGTGTATGTGAATGTGTGTGTGTCTGAAGAAAGTTAGAGAATGACTATAGATCAATGCTGACCAACAGTAGTATAATGCAAGCCCCATGTGAAATTTTAAAGATTCTAGTAGCCACATTAAAAAAGTTAAAAAGCAACAGGCAAATTAATTTTAGCAATATATTTTATTTAACCCAATATTATGACTTCAAAATATTATTTCAACATGTAGTTAATATAAAACTCATTAGTGAGATGTTCTACATAATTTTTTATACAAAGTCTTCATAATGTAGCGTATACTTGACATAACAGCAACCTCTTTTTTGGACAGCCCCTATTTTAAATGCTCTATAGCCATGTGTGGCTGGACTACCATACTGAACAGCACAGCTCTAGATAAATGGGAAGATTTGAAGCCAGACACATGACATTTCTAAAAGAGATGGTTGGAGAATAACGATGATACAGGGCAAACTTGATCTAAGATAGAGAAGAAAAGAAAATTTCTGTAAATGAAAGATAACTGAGGGGTTTCTTCCTCCAGTAAATGTGTATTTTATCATTCCCCTGTCAAATAGAATCTTGATTCATGATCTACAAGAAGAGATTGAGAAACAGTTTGATGTTAAAGAAGATATCCCAGGCAGGCACAGCTATGCAAAATACAACAACTGGGACAAGGTACAGTATGAAGTGCCTGTACTTCAAAAAAAAAACTATAACCCTTAACATTTGTTCTCATTTAGTTTCTTTTATTCTAATTCCTCAAAATTGGTTTTGTTCTTAAGATTGTTGCTTGGACTGAAAAAATGGTGCATAAGCATCCCAAAATGGTCTCTCGTATTAAAATTGGAACCACTATTGAAGATAATCCACTATATGTTCTCAAGGTAATAATAATTCAAGAACTACTAATTGTTATTATTTTAGAAAAATATGAATTTAAAAGTTACTTTGTGACACAACTAGTGAATTTTGAGACAATAAAAATCTTATAATTTTTTTGAAGAACATATAAGCTCCAAATGTCCATTCAAAAATAGAAGTGACAGGTGGTTTTAGGTGGAACCAAGAAAGTCCCTGAACTAACCATTTGTGGGACACAATGGACAAACTCAGACAAATATCTTATCCCATATCTTTATTTGAAGAGTTTATGAAGTCCCTGGTGTATAAAACAGTTTTCCACCCATTAAAATTCAGGGAAGCTGGTGACTAAATGTCATGAAGAAAAGAGAAGTTTAAGTATCACAGAATCATAGGATCCTGGAACAGTACATGAAGCATTTCAACCCTATGTTGATGGGGAATTCCCTTCTATAATGGACCTGACAATTACCGTTCAGCTGCTGCTGGATTTTTCTACATCCAAATACATTGTTCCCTAAAGCATGCCCTTAATAACTGGGAAGTCCTTCCTTACCCTGAATTCCCATCCATTCATTCTCTCCAACTACCCAAAACAAATCTAAATTCTCTTCAAAATGACAGCCCTTCAAATATCCAGCCACTGTTCCTCCTCCCCACTGCAAACACAACTACAAAATCTTTTCCACCTGAAGCTAAACATCCCATTTATGAAGCCAGAAAAACAGAAGGAAATGGCAGAAACAGAAACAGCATATAATCTATTTCTCAGACCAAAGGATGTTAACAATAAAATAAGAAAAACAATATATTGTGATTTTTTTAAAAAACCCTAAAAGCAACTCTGACACTAGGAAAATTTTTTTAAAAAATAGACTATGTAATAGATTATGAATTATGTATAGACATTTAAGGATATGTACCATGGTCCTCCCTGAGAACAATATGTGCATATGCAGTTATTCAACAGAAGACAGGGTAAGAATTGCTTTGAGCATAGGAATGAGTTATTGGACAACAAAGGATCAACGTGTGAGCTCATGCAAAATAATATCTCAAGTTTATTTTTAAATAGATTGGGAAAAGGGATGAAAGAAGAAAGGCTATTTTTATGGATTGTGGCATTCATGCACGAGAATGGATCTCCCCAGCATTCTGCCAGTGGTTTGTCTATCAGGTAAGTGAATCGGAACACTCATACAATTCTCCTTTGATTGTCAAATCTCCAGCACTTAACTGAGTGGCAACACCCCTTTCCAAATGAGTGCAGTTCCACTTAACTAGAAGGGCCCACATTTGGTGCTGTCAGGAAATAAATGCTCTGGATTTTACTCATCATTGGGGTTTTTATAAAATTGACACCTTCCTTCAAACTTCTTGAATTCCAGCTGACAGTTTATAAAACTAAAATAATTTTTTGGGGCTATGATGTCATTTCTCCTATAGTGAAGTATGGACAATCTGAAACTATCTTCATATTACAACCTATAATCTTGGCCTTTCTTCAGTGAGCCCAAAGCACAGACCTTGAGTTCCTGTTTAGATCTCTAATTGGCCAATGATGCACTTGGATTTTCATACTTCATTTCTTTTCCAAGGGAAAAATAACTCAGTTTTTTTAAAGGTAAATCCAGCTTATGAGTTGTTGTTCCTCTCATTCTATCCTATTCTGACTCCTACCATCTTTTAACTTTCTCTTTTCTGCCAGCTTTTGCATACAACATGCTGATGTAATATGCATGACAATGCCTTTCTGGGCATGGATGCTTTAACTAGGAATGAATCTGCCAGTAGAACTGATTTATCCCTGCAATTGTTTTAGCTCTTCCAGCTGAGGGCCAAGACCTCCCCTTACTCAACCTATAAAGGAATACATGTGACAGGACTACAAGAAATCCCTTGGCTCTGGAACAGATGTACCTGGAAGAGATTTTCCAAGAATGAGAGAGATTTTAGGTAGCCATAGGAAGTATAGATAATTACAGAAAATTCAATCTGATGGGAGAAAAGGAGTTGATTGGTCAATCTAATGCTTGAGTTTTTTAATAATAGAGCATTTTTCTTTAATCTTATTTATAATTAATTTATGAATCCTCTCCAATATTTACATATTCCTATCTATATTTACCTAAAGGATGTGAGGGAACGAATCCATTTAAAGCAACGTGTACAGCTAATTTTTCACTTGGCCTCCATTCTTCCTATAAAACATATCTTGCATGCTATATGTGGAATGCTACAGTCTTGACAATTAAATGATCCTTTAAAGAATGGTCAGTTCAATAAATTTCACTAGTCTGAAAAAGTGACTTTTGTATGGGTCACTTATTTTTATGCTATTTAGGGGAAATACTTTGAAATCATGTGATCTTGGGCAAATGACCAAAGGAATGGTAGTTATTACCATTATAGCCACAGCTTGCCACATGGTGATGAACTTTACACCAATAGCTTAATTTTTTCCTACTCCTACAGGCAGCCAAAACTTATGGAAAAAATAAAATTATGACCAAACTCCTGGACCGAATGAATTTTTATGTTCTTCCTGTATTCAATGTTGATGGATATATTTGGTCATGGACACGGGTAAGAGACCATAGTCTCTTGTTTGCATTTGGACAATACAGTATTTACTGACTTTAATGCACATTGATTGTTATGCATTAAGTTTAAGGTTTGAGTAACCAGTTAATTCTAATTCAGAAAAATGTAATTTTAAGAATCTCAATTTCAAACTAAGGCAAGCATGATTTCCTGGTTGCGCAGGTGTCCTTGAAATAATATGAAATTTCTGCTGCTGAAGCTAGTAATGAAAAAAATGAAATAGAGCAATAATTATAAAAGAAATGTATGTTATATAGTATGGCAAAAACACATTCTACCTAAAAATAAAAGTCAATTAAAGACATTCTGAACACTGATGTCAAAGCAAAAGGCACTATATTCCAATCTATCTGTAATAGAATTTGATGTGGAATAAATGTATCAAAAAATAAATAAATAAAAGAGTGACAGTTACCTGTCTATCTGTCCTTTAACTGGATGCATTACTGACCCATTGTTGCTAAATAAGATTAATACTGAACTTTCAGACAGTTACTATCACATTCAGTTCTTTTCTGAAAATTATGCTCCAACAGTCACAATTTGGCCTGTTTTATATCTGAAATCTATAAATGGTGAAGGATGTAATGAAGTTATAATTTAAATTATAGGTAATTTCAGAACATTATTGATCATTTTCCAGTACCGAGAACTAATCAACAGTTTTTAAAGCTAACTAAATTATTTTATCAAGGCCTTAGAATATTAATGTAAAAAACAATGTTTCTGAAAATATTACAAGTTCTAGGAAAATAATATATTTTTCTTTATAAAAAGGAGCCTCAGGTTAACTAGGTAGATTTCAAATAAAGCTGTAGACACTGCAGAGAGGGTCTGAAATGATCAAATTGAAAAATGCAAACTGATCTGGTGTAAACACTTCCATCATTCAATCCTGCAGAACCGCATGTGGAGAAAAAATCGTTCCAAGAACCAAAACTCCAAATGCATCGGCACTGACCTCAACAGGAATTTTAATGTCTCATGGAACTGTGAGTAGTACACTTGATCTCAAGGAAAATAGCTATAAAAGAGTGTTCAGATTAAACCACTGACTTATTTCAGTAAAAATACGTATCTCCTGAGTGTTAATTTTCTAATCTAAAAAATAAAAGATAATCATCCCTACTTAGAAATATTATGAATGTTTTGTTATATGAGAGGAAGTGGGGTTGTTTATCAAACCATCTCTTACTTAATATATCTAGCTTGCTAAAACTCAGGCATAATCCAGATGTACAAAAATTCAGATAATCTGAAGAGAGGTCTCAGGTCCCTCCTCTTCCTGGTCTGATAAAAGCTGAGAAGTACCAGTGGTTAAAACCAGCATACAGATAGTTCCTCAGATGTTTAGTGAAAAGAAACAGCTGGGGCAAAGAAAGTGAAAAGGTTTAATGGAAATGCAATGACAAGCAGAGGCCTGCTACATCAGATGACACTGTAGTTGCTACACAAATTTGACTTCATCATTACATACATTCAAGGAGAAATTACCACTATCCCAATTCATAAATTTTTTCTTTACTTAACTTGGTTGAAAATACCACCTCAGCTTTTAATTTTATTCTACCATAGTAATTATGATAATATCAGCTACCCCTAAGTGAGAGCTGCCTGATGAAATGGGTTGAAGAAACTCAAACTCAAAAAGGGTAATTCACACCAGTCCCCAACAAGTTGGAGTGGAGCTGATCTAGAACTGGGGTCTATCTGGCTCCAGGCCCTGGGCTGCTTCTGGTGTATTATTCCTGTAATCCTGGGAAACAGAGGCAAAATAAACAAAGCTAAGAATATTCTAGTGGGCTGGGTCTGTCACATTCTGAGTTGTGTGTACAAAGTTGGTCTGCAATGACTTTGACACCAGAAACACTGAGGCAGCACTGTAAACCTGGGAGATGAAAATGTTTAAAACATTTTGTGAGTCCATGTCAGAAGAGGCAGGAGCTTTTCTGATGCGGAGCAGACTATGATCTCATCCATCCATGTCCACTGCAGCTTTTCCAAACACCAAGAATCCATGTGCAGATACCTATCAGGGCCCAGAACCAGAGTCCGAGAAAGAGACCAAGGCTGTCACTGACTTCATTAGAAGCCACCTGAAATCAATCAAGGCCTATATCACCTTCCACTCCTATTCCCAGATGCTACTGTTTCCCTATGGATATACATCAAAACTGCCACGGAACCATGAGAACCTGGTATGTAGAAAAAAACCTACGGTTATGCACTGACTGTGCCATTGACTTTCATGAACAACTGTTCTTTATGAACAGCTGCATAATGTTGAAAGAATTTCACATTTTAATACCAAAGGAAAGAACTAATAAAGTTTACCTTAAAGTTTATCTTAGACTTAAAAGTCATAATTCCTAGATTAATTTTTCATGTGATAAAAAGATAAAATCTTTCAATGTGATTCTAAGATAAAGCCAGTAGGAAACAATATCTAGGCCATCCAGACTAGAATTCCATTACTACACAGATTGGTATATCAACATTTACCATAGACACACCTGTAAAACCACATGCAGCAAAAGTCTAATAGAACAGCAAAGATATCGATTTCTGTCCCTAAAACACCATTTTTAAGAAGATCCACAGTATTTTTATCCTCCTCATCAATTTGGAAGCAATATTAATTCTGTTACTATCCAAAGAAAGAACATTATGAATGTTTATGAAGCTTCCTCACTGAGAACACACTGTCTTTCAAGAACTAAGATCCACTATGCATCCTTTTTCCTTTGTATGAAAACTAATTTGATCATGTTGGATTAAAACAAACAAAAAAAACCTCTGCATATGGGTTCCAGTGCATCACAAGAACCCGCAGTGTGAATATCCATTAAAAAGGGATATTTTTAATTGTTGTAAAAGACAAGAAATAAAGCAGATAAAGTTCAGTGTCCGAGATCCCATGAGGGGCTGATAAATACAATACATTCAGTAAAAACTATGGTTCCAGTACTGCCTCTTATTTTTAAAAATAATTTTTTAAAAAGAAGTCACAATTGTCATTTTGATTTCCATCCATTGTATTCAGCATGACAGCATTTAATTTCAGTTGCAGCAGAGATGTGAACCAGTCATTAAAACCATCTGTAGGGGTGCCTGGGTGGCTCAGTTGGTTAAGCAGCTGCCTTCGGCTCAGGTCATGATCCCAGGTCCTGGGATCGAGCCCCGCATGGGGCTCCCTGCTCGGCCTCTGCCTACTTGTTCTCCCTATCTCTCTGTCAAATAAATAAATAAAATCTTTAAAAAAAAAAAAACCTGTATATATACAACAAAGAAAATATACAAGCAATATGTGGCCCATAGTCATTTATTTAGCCAATATAGCTAAGACTCTGAACCCATGAGTTTGATTAGTTCATGAAAAGCTACAGCAATGCAATTTCAGTCTGCCCTTATGAAAATGGTATTATGGATTAAAAATACAAATACACACAACAAACCATTCTGATAAAGAGTTCTTACACAGCCACTAAATTAATTAAGAAAAAAGTTATCTTTTTGTTATATACATTACACGTACAAACTAAAAATCTTCATCGAGGGAACAAATATGTTAGTGACTATATTCCATTAAAATTCATTCCAATAATCATTCTCATAGCATGAAACACTAATGTGTATTAAAGGTCATGAAATGCATTCACCCTGGAAGATAAACTCTAATTTAACAACTATTTTAAAGAAGAGTCAACCACATTTCTTCCCTCAGCATGCTAAAATCCAATGTGGAAAAAGTTTTTTGGCAATGTGGCGCCCATAAAACAAAGGAAGCAGGAACATGGAAGAAACTGATTTTGGAAGAGACAAGTATCTGCAGCCAAAAAGTATATGAGAGGAAGTAGAAAGAATATGTTTTTTAGAAGGACGGACAAAAGGAAGAAAGCAGGGAAGTGGGTGGGGCGGGGAGAAAAATGAGGGAGGAAGAAAGAAGAGAGAGAAAAGAAAGAATAGAATCCAAAATGAGATATGGCATTACTATTTATAACTGATTTCACATTTAGAATTCTTCACAATGACAATATATCTTACCAAAAATAAATTTCTCATTTAACCATTGATTTTATTTTGATCTTCAGTTGTCAAATAACCAGTAAAATTTCCTTTTTTTGATTCCCAACAAATTAATAATATTTACACAGTTTCATATCATTCCAACTCTAATTTCCCTTTTTTTCCAGGCCAAAGTTGCAAAGATCGGCACTGATGTTCTAGCAACTCGATATGAAACCCACTACATCTATGGCCCAATAGCATCAACAATCTGTAAGTTTTTCCTAGTATTTACTGTGTTATTTTCCCTAATTCTTTTTATAAATATTAAAGAAACTTCAGGATTTGTAAATTAGGATTAGAACATGTAGAATTGCTAACTTAAACTTCAGTTTTAATGGAAGATTCTGAATTACATGTGAATCTAGGGGATACATTTTGCCCTTTTGGGGGATAAGATTTTTCTAGAAACAAATTATACAAGGTTACAAGGTCAGTAGAAATTGTTGAATCAAGATGAAGTTTTGGTTTAATTCATCCACCTTCCTGTTCCCCACCAACATTTATCCTCACGGGAACTAACAAGAATTAGTTGGAGCAAACTCAACAGTTTTTGTTGGTGGTGGTGGTGGTGTTGAATTGGACAGTTTTCCCTAGCTCCTGGTAGGAAAATGGGCAGGCCAAAAGTTTCAGTCACTTAGGTCATGTAAAACCAGTTTCATGTCCTTCTCACCAGCCCCTTCCTATTGTGTTAAACTAAAATGTGTGTGGCAGATTAAGAAAGAGGATGTAAAGGTTCTAGTTCTGTTGCTTTTGTTTTAGTGTCTAAATACCACTTCTTACTCTTCACTATCTTTAGACTTTCTTTGTGCATTTTTTTAATTACTGACAGATTTCTGACAAGTCAGGCACTGTGCTTGGCCCTTGATTTCACAATCTCAATCTCACAACATCCTATGAGGTAGGCTATACTTGTAACTGGCTAACCTGGGATTTAGTTCAACAAAACCAAAACCCATGATCTTGACCACTGTACATAATGCTTTCTCATTTGATTTCTGCAGCTAAAATAACCAGGTTTTTCTATTTTTAAGCAATGAAAAGAAATTCATTTGATTTTTCACCAAAGACCATTAATTCAGACCTTGGGAAGTGAAATCATTTTTTCCCTTATAGCAAGATCCCACTGATGTTAGTTTAGAAATACTTCACTAAAAATTGCCTTTTCTCCAAATCGCTTCAATTCTTAGAATTGAAGAATGGAAAATTCCCAATGAACTGCTTACAAAACTTTAACTTCTAACACAACTTAATTCCTCAAAAGCATGGATTACACTTCAGATCTCTTCTCAGACCACAAAATATATAGCCCAGTGCAGGGCATGGAACAACAGCAGAATTAATTCCCATAAACGTGCTCAATTAAAATAGCACCCTGACTGATCCAAAAACAGTGAATATGGATTGAAAACACAAGACTAGACTTGACCTAGCCTGCATCACTCTCTAGAGCCATGACATCCAATATTTTTAAACATTTGTTTAAAGATTTTATTTATTTATTTGAGATAGAGAGTGAGAGAGAGAGAGCATGAGTGGGGTGAGGGACAGGGGGAGAAGCAGACTCCCTGCTGAGCAGGGAGCCTGATGTGGGGCTCAATCCCAGGACTCTAGGATCATGACCTGAGCCAAAGGCAGACACTTAACTGACCAAGCCACCCAGGCGCCCCTAACCTTTAAACTTCTGATGAACAACCCACCACCACCAAACACATATACTTATTTCCATTATGCTTTTTAAATTTGTGGATTGAAAAAAAGAAATATGTATGTGTGAATCCACGGATTCCTTGCAATAATTCTACCTGGCCACACCTTATAAACTACCTCAACCCAAGCTAAAAGTATTAACTTGGAACTAAAGTCTATACCCTCAATAATTGCTAATTGCTATGGAATTCAAAAATGCCAAAATCATCACATACAACTTCCAGAGCCAACTTATTGGAAGCTCCTTTGGTGGAATTAGAAAAATGACCAAAAAACCAGACAAGTCCCATTCCCAGAGAACATTCATCAGCAATCACCTATCAACCAATCTTTGTTAAAAGGCTGAAGAGAAAGTATAGTGACACAATCAATTGCGTGTATCCAAACAGATCTCTTGCTGCAACATAGCCATGCTAGAGATTCATTACACAAAGTGGATGAAAATGAGCTTTCTAAAAAGATGATATACTCAACTATGTAAGTGGACCAAAAGTGAGCAAAGAACGAGAGGACAGACTAGAACAGCAGTTTAAAATGGCAGCCTACTTAGTGGATATTGAGAAATTGCAGGACCAGACAAGCTAGATACTCTTGGCAGCAAAGAACAAAGGGTTCCAAACAGGAACACACTTTGCAAATGGCAACTAGAACATCAAAGGATTATTGTTCTCACACTTTCCACACATATATATGCAATGTATATTTACATATATATTCAAATTATGAGCACACTAAAGCTATGCCTGGCATTGTATCACAGCCAATTTAATGAGCAAGAATTTATGGAATGCCTCCATCATAGCCCAGAACTTTGGAGTTTTGAGAGGTAGGTTAGAAGAATTAAGACATAATTAAACTGCTCTCAAGAAGTTACATTCTAACTGGGAGAAAGAGATAGCCAAAAATACCATGGCTGGAAGCCACCATGTATCACTTTCAAAGTGGGAGGATAGGGTGAAGAGGAATTACTATTCCGTACAACTTTGTAGCAGTATCTTACATTTTTTAAATTATATTAAAAGATTTTCTTAAAGAAATGCAGATTTAGAAAGAATTGCCTCTTCCAGACAGGGCTGCAGCAGCTTGATAGATGTTTAAAATTTTTAGGAGTGAATGCTTTAATAAAACATCTGATTGAATCAAACACTCATGAGAAGCAGGGGGTAACAAAGTGTTGCTGACTTGGTAAGAACAGAAAGTAAGGGCACCCCACAATTAAAGTTTAGTCATTCCAACACCCTGGTTGTCACTTAACAAGTCCCAGGACGCAGGGAAAGCATCTATAGCATTTGCTAGTGGTTTTCTCCCTTTGATTTGATGGAGACCAAAGAAAAGGCTGAGGGAACATTTTTAAAGTCAAATTATGGAGAGAGCTCTGACCTCCAGAAAAAACAAGTATGCAATTTGAACCTAAGAAGCAAATATAGCAAATAAATAAAAATCATAAAATTTGAAACCAGGAGGAAATCTAGGAGATGATCTAATTCATGGTTCTCAAGCCTGACTTCCCATCAGAATCATCTGAGCTTTTAAAATATGTGGATGATTAAGCCCCACCCACAGAAATTCTGATTTCATTAGTTTGTGGTGGGGGTCAGTCACTTGCATTTTTTTAAAGTACCCAAAGTAATTCAAAGATGAAACTAGGTTTGAGAACCACTGGTCTAAGCTTAATCCCTCATTTATAGACTACAAAAATAAGATACAGAAAGATTTTATCAATTTGGAGAAAAACAGGAACAAAGATCAGCGTTCCAGACCAGAATCAAATGGTATACCAACTACTTTGTCACAAAGCAGCAATATTTAGATGGCACAGAAACTGATGTAAAAGATTGTGAAATGTTTACATTTGTATATTGATGACCTATCCAATCCTTATCATCTTAGAAATAACTGAATATAGTATCTGGTTAGTAAGAACACTTCACTGAATTGATAGGAACAGATTGCTTGCATCATTAATATCATCCCTCTGTGAGTCACATCATAAATTAAAAAGCTACTTTTTTTTGCTTTATTTTTTTTATTATGTTATGTTAATCACCATACATTACATCATTAGTTTTTGATGTAGTGTTCCATAATTCATTGTTTGCGTATAACACCCAGTGCTCCATGCAGTACGTGCCCTCTTTAATACCCATCACCAGGCTAACCCATCCCCCCACGCCCTCCCCTCTAGAACCCTCAGTTTGTTCCTCAGAGTCCATCGTCTCTCATGGTTCATCTCCCCCTCCAATTTCCCCCTCTGAAACAAATAATACATTATATGTTAAAAAAAAAAAAAAAAAGATAGCAGGAAGGGAAAAATGAAGGGGGGGGGGAAGTTACTTTCAAAGTGCCTTTCTTGTTGCCTTCCCCACACACCAAATTGCTAGATCTGCTCCTGTATCTCAACCCGGTACTCTTTTCCACACTCTGTACCACTTCTGCATTTTGAAAAACAGAAAATCAAGACCTCACATTTGTAGCTCACAACACCCAATCTCTATCTACTAAGACATTCAAGCTGAGATTATATTAAGGCACAACAAAAATGCAGAGAAAATATTTCAACTTATGCCCACACACCTCTAGCTTAGCTCTTGCTTCAAATAAAACTTTCACTTAGTATTGACATAAAAGTGCCGATCATTATGTTTAATGCATGTCAATAATGCTTTTTTTGAAAAACACATGTTAAGCCACCAGCATTATGTTATGTAGATTCCTGTGGGCTGAAACCGGATTCCCAGTTTGGTTCAGTTTTATTTTGACTTGTTTTGATTGTATTACAGTAAGTTCCTTGCACCTAATGTGCCTTGAAAGGTGTAGAATTTTTTTTAATGACAATATATTAAGAAAATGTTGTCAACAACAAAAAATTATCTTGTAGAACTCAAAGAAGACTTTTTACTGGGAGGACTATAGATTGACATACAGTAGGTAGTATAGTACAATGGTTAATAACACAAACTCTAAAGACATGCAGCTTGGGTTTGATTCCTGACCCAACCATGTACTAGCTAGTGTCTTTGAGCAAACTGTTCAATCCCTCTGGGCCTAAATTTCCTCTTCTGTAAAACAGCAATTGGTGCTTAAATCCTAAGGTCGTGATAGGAATTTATGAAATGAGTTAATATACATGAAGTACTTAAAAGGGTACCTGGTATTTAGCAAGTGGTTATATTTTATAAATATATACACATATTTTAGTAGGTTTAGATGTAGATAAATAGAAGGCTAAGTATCATGTTCAAAATATTAAGTTCTATAAACATGTATTCTTACAAGTAAAAAGCTTTCAGTGTTGCATTTATTTTATGCCTTATATAGTTTTTGTTTGCAAAGTTAAGGTTTTGAAGATACAAAAAGTGGTATCAAAAAAGAAAATGTAGGGGCACCTGGGTGGCTCAGATGGTTAAGCATCTGCCTTCAGCTCAGGTCATGATCCCGGGGTCCTGGGATCAAGTCCCGCATC